GCAGGAATCTGGGAGCAGGGATTCAGCACAGAAGGCTGCTCCAGGAGTACCCCGTGAAATGCTGATGTGCCAGGATAAAGAGGGAACTCATTCTTGATTCTGAGGGTCCAGCACCTTGTGGGATGGGGCACACTAAAATGAAAGCCCTGTTAGGACAGCAGTTTCAACTCCCCTTTGACTCCATCATTTCACAGGTCAACTTCGGCTCTTGATTAGAAGGAAACCCTGGTTCCCCCACCCCAGCCAGAAGCAAGGCTGCCTGGAGCTGTGTTGCAGGAAGGCAGGTGAATGTTTGTGACTACTCTGGGGGACCGGCAGCAGTTTGACACTAACTGATTGAAAAAATTTGCCTGAAACTTCTCTGAGAAGATCCCTCGGTACTGGGGTGCTGGGTGGGGACTGCCAGCTCCTTTCTACTGCCAGGGAAAGGAAATACTGTGCAGGAAACGTGGCTGAGGAAAGAATCCCTAACACTAGCATGGTATGTGATCTCTCTGTCATTACATTTGCCTTCCCCTAACCATTTTTTGTGGTGCTTAGTTGCCAGCCAGGGTTAAACCACAACAACTTAATCACCTGTAAAAACTCCCCTTTCCTTGTCCTCATCATTCCCTTGGTTTCTCTGCCTTTCTAAACACCCTCCCATCCTCTCCTGTCTTACTCAGTTTCTTATTTAATTCCCACTACGGGTTCCTCTCCCCTTTCTGTTCATTGCTGGGACCATCATATCTAAAGTGCAATTGATCACCATTCTGAAAAAGCCATGCACTGTCTTCCCCACTCACAGGTGGGAGTCCTACACTTCCAATCCCAAGCACAACCTCTTCTTGTCTCTGCTCCTCTTGCTGCCCTTCAGGAACATGGTCTCCTTCACTTGCTAGACTGGTCTTATGCTACCTCAGAGTTGGCATAAGAGGAAATTTATGCAGGGATCAGTGGCAGCCAGCAGGTACATAACCATTTGCTTTCAAGATTTAGTAAGTAGAAGTGGCAGGGGTAAGATCCAGGGCTGGCATTGCTCTTCACCCTGCTGACTTTCATGCTGAACCCATCAAAGTTTCCTGTTCTGTATATCTAGCAAGGCTTCCGCATACCAGGCTAGAGCTTTCCAGTCTGGTATCCAGAGCTCTGCTGCAACTTGTTGTGGCCAGATCAGTTGGCAACAGCTCACCAGAAACACTTGTGGAGTTAGTTAACAGGTAGAGCTGCAAGGAGATCAGGACACTTCTCTATCTCATGGTCCCGTAGCCCTCTGTGACTCCTTGGCTCACGAGACATTTGTTACCCTGGGTATTCACTTGTGTCACTCAACAGAAGCTTTGGCGCTGGGCTGCTGTGCTCCTTGACATAGTGAGGGTCCCCAGAAGGGAAAGCTTTCCTTGGCTTACTTTCCACTAGGCCTGTGGCGCTGCTGTGCCATGCCTCGTTCGAGGACAAGGTTACAGTACACCTTGGCAAGGTGAATCCTGGCCACCGCCAACTTTGCCAACACGTCGTCCATGTCTTTATTCTCTAAAAATATCATAGCCCTGTTTAAAACAAAAACGGAAAAAAGTTTTCAGGGAAGGTGCTCGGGCCAGAAGGGATGCTAGAAAGAGGGACGTTTCCTGAGAGGCAGGCGTGGTTTTCAGGCACATAAACCAACATGCTGCATGACCCCACTGTGAGCAGACCCCTCTGCAGCAAGGCTGGGCTCAGATGCTTCCAGCACAGTTTGGCAATGCCAGTGGGGCCACACAGCCTGGGGCTTGGGCCCAGACAGTCTCTCTTGGCCCACACAACTTAAAAGCTGCATGCCCACAACCTGTCAGGTCGCCGTCTTTGATCCTGCATAGCTTATGAACCCTTTTAGCAGCCTGCATAAAAGTCCTGGAGGTGCATTTATATATCTGCGGGCGCAGGCTCTGTCAGCGGGTGGCCTGGAGCGGTGGGTCTGGCTCATTCAGAGACAGCACTTACTTCTCTTCAAAAAGGCACACGAAGCGCGTTTGGGACTGCCTCTAAACAGGAACGGCTAAAACCGCAAACCTGTATTTTAAACCAATTCAGATCAAACACAAAGGAAATGCCAAACCAAAGAGCTTTCTATTTCCTCTGCTTCCCTGTAATCCACCTGACTGTCTCCCGGTGCCTGGGAGTGCTGCCGGCCTAAAAGTTACCAGCCTCTTTTCACACTCAGAAGAGTTGGGTTTTTTTATCTGTCTTATCCCTGATGGCCTCCAGCTCTAAAGCTTCCTACACAACCCACCTGTAATAAATTAGGACAATTACTCTGGGCTTCTCAAGCATAATTGCTAATAAAATTCAGAAGATTTTCCTCAAAAGACATGAAAGGGTTGGAAGCAGAAGCAGACAGAAACTAAAGGGGAAAGAAAATGCAGGACAGAAATAATAGCCCTTGTTCCATTCATGTCTCATCCACCACTGCTGAGTTTTTGTTCTTAGAGTCACATATTTCAGAAGTGAATACTCCCAAGCTGTCTCCGGTGGGGGAATGCCTCATGCCCGCTCCTTTGGAAAACTGGTTGGTTGTTTTTGAAGCTAGTTACAAGGTCTTCCTGAACCCAGGAGAAGCCAGGAAAGCCTCAGACTTGGATTTACAAAGAATCAGCACAGCACCAACAAAAGACAAAGTCATGAGAAGACAAAGATGTCCGTATTCATCCTGACGGTCTCTGATAGGAACCCCTTCCAATACTTTCTTTTCCAAAGAAAGTTTAATGCACAGAAGCCATGACTCCTGAAGCCAGGCCAGTCTTAGATGCTCTCTTGAGCCACTGTGGACACTGATACTTCTACATGGTCTAGGTTCAAGACAGTTGAGGAGCTATTCAGACTATCAGGCCTGGCTCCCTGTGGACAAGAGTAGTCCCAACACAAGTTAGGCATCTCTCGTAGGCAGCCCAAATGGCAGGAACCCCCAAAAAAACCAACTAGGAGCAGGAATAACCAGCACCGTTTTCTGTGTTACTAGGTTATCACACAGGGTCTACAAGAAGAGCAGCTCGAGGACTGCACAGCCGTTGGATGTGTCTGTCATATAGGAACATCAGGCTGATAAAGGACTGGGTGGGTCACCAAGCCCAGTCTCCAAATAATCTGTCTGTCAGATTAACTGGGAGCAAATTATAGGTGTCACTAACGAGACACATGAAATGGTACCGGCATGTCTTGCCTCCAGTCTGTCTCTACTTGTGGCACATAGCCAGTACTACATAGGAAAGCAAAAAACCCCATGAAACTAAATTACATCTTAGAGGAAGGGGGAGGGAGTTTTCTTCCTAAGCAGGCCACTAGCAACAGCCCTGAGCATGGGATTTATGTGGGATAGATATAGGAAAACAAATGGCTGTGCAATCTTCTTTCACATTCTCTCAAATACATCAGCATATCACAAACCCAAGGATTCTTATCACAAGTGTAATTTTATGTCATTATGATTCTATTATGTAGTCATAAAATCCCTTTCACAAGCTCACGGAGCTCCACCTCCAGAAAAAAAAAAGTAGTTTTCTCGCCTGCCCCCACTGCTTCCTAGTGGAAAACCATTCCAGAACTTTATTCCACAGGAGGAAAAAGACAGTCCTTGCTACATTTGATCTGAAATACAGCACATATCAAGTTTAGAATTAGACCAGGTGGATAACAGAGGCAACAGGAGGTCTTGAACAGGGAAAGAAGATGCAATGTCAGAAAACTCTTCACACCGCCATTAATATCTCCCTGCTCCTCCAAGTCAGCTAAGGCACTAAAATAGTTAAGGATGAACTTCCACATTAAATAGGACCTGAAATTTCCTTTTGTCATTTTATTTTCCTTCCCGATATTTATATTTCACTAGATCAATATCCTGACTTCCTCCTTCTGCACGGTGTCTCTTTAAGCTTCTCTGATGTTACACTGCGTGCAGGTAATCCTGACAAGCAAGCCACTTCCCTTCAGGGGAGGTAATGAATCTAAACAAAACAGTGTTGTAGAATATCCCTTTGGGAAGCCGGAGAGTCAGTATATGTTTCCCACCAAAACAGAGGGGTCACTTTGGGAGCACTGCATGCCAGAACACACTGAAAAGTCTCTCGTGGCAGGGTTTATCCAGTGCTTGCTTATAGCTGATAGCTACTAACCAGAGCCCCCCGGATCCAGGAAATATAAACTTATATTGCAATAAGTCCAAACTCCTCTTTGTTTCAGTCTGTATCTGTGTTTGCCACACCAATAGATGATATGAGCCATTTTGAGATGCCATGGCCCATGGAGTGGCTTCTTTGTCCTTTACCAGCCAAAAGCGAGAGGATCATTTCGTAAATTGCAGCCCAGAGCACCTCACCTGAATCTATGACCTTTGTGTATGAAACGACACTGCTGGTTTTCTTTATTTATGAATTATTCCTTGCACAATGAAACACCTGTGAATCTATGGATATAGAACAAATCAGTTCCTTAAGGCTAGCGATCCTCCACCAGTCTTTCCTTCAATTCAGATAAATCAGCCCCTTTTTATATCAAGGCTTTATGAATTGTGAAGTAATCATTAGGTGTTTTAAGAAAATGGTCAATCAATTCTCAGAGACTATTATAGACTCCAGAAAATCACTGAAGTTTCTTACAATCAGAGTTTGTACCTCTGTAATGCTTTCTCCCGAGGCATATAACCCTCTAACACAGCAGCTCCTAAACTATTCCCCTGGCATCGCCACTTCCACTCTGCAAGGTAGCAAGTGTGGTCACACACCCTTACTCGGGAACTGCTTTCCTAGCATATATTCCTCATGTTGTAACATGTTTCTAGCACCTAAGAGTCATCTGAACCTGCTTTGCAAAGTATTTAGAAATGAAGTCTTAAAGCAATGTGACCCACAGCACAAATTAAAACCCAGCAGACTCAGTTGCGACAATTTGGTGCTCTGTATTGCAAGCAAAAATGACTGGATACTAATGTTATTGCTGGGAAGTGGCATTAAGGGATGGTAATGTGATCCAAGGCACTCATGTAGATTTAACGTTGATGGTAGTAGTAATGATTTATTCAAATTGCAGTATTACCTTGCGGAGCCAAATTATTTGGTGACCCCATTGCACCAGGACTGGATCCAGCCACCATCTTGAGAGGGAGACTATGGCGATGCCATGCCACGTGACAGTAGTGCGCGCTGCTCAGGGCAAGGCTGGGGCAAAGCAGGGTTCAAACTCTCCCACAAAATCTGACTCTCTACATAGTCAGAGGAGCCTACGTCCTGGAGAGCACAGAGGACAAGGGGATGGGAGACATCGACGCTGAGACCAAGGGATTTTCTCCTTAGTATTGCATATATAGACTGGGCCAGCATAGCAAGCAGTCCTTGCTTGTACGCAGAATCCCACTGATCCTGACATGAAAGACTGCCCTGTGATTTCAGATTTGCCGGAGCAAGCTCTGTGTACTTACACCCCTCAAGTCTTATACTCACGAAGTCAAGGATCTGCATTTCTTTTCCAGGGCAATTTTTTCAAGGTAAAAAGATAGGTAGAAGAGCAGGGCCATGAGGAACTCATCTAGTTTCTCATTCCTAAATGGAAGGGAGAAAGGTCACTGTGAAGTCTGCAGATTTGCAGATAGAGACACCACCAGACCATTATGAAAAAGAACAAAGTCTCTGCTCAAGGGCCTGCATTATACCAAATATGAGCTATATGGTTGCAACCTATTAGTAAGAAGCACTTCACCCTACACTAAGACTTTGAAGGCTTTTAGAGAATTATAGAGTCCAATAAATACAGTGAAGGGTGGATTGAATTGGATATTACCAGACATACTTCCAAGAAGCATGTTTTCTGCACTGAACACGCTGAAGAAGTGGCATTCACATTCAAAGGAAAAGGGGGACAACTCAGACACCTTTCCCTTTCTGAAAGAACAGTATGGTAAAGGCTCAACAAGGTCTGCAGATACACTCCTAAGTCAAAGGCAATGCAGCCACTGTACGGCCCTGGTGATCTCAGGGATATGCCTCTGAGATGTAATGTTCCGCCCGCTGCCTCCTCCCTTTTAGCCTATAGAGAAGTAATGCTGATAAGTGACAGCAGCAAATAATGAGCCCTGTAGCTCTGATGGGAACAGCAGCAGCACAGGAGGCAGCCCAGATTCCCAGTCGTGTTAGCGCTCCTGGTGCACGCAGTGCTGCAGATGCGCTGGCTAACATGGAATTTAGCTTAGAGTAAAACAGATGACAACCTGAGGATATTTAGGCCCAAGTTCTTGGCTTCCTTTAGTTAACAGAGTGGAAGGCTTTCAAACAGGTGATAGGATTATTTCTCTGCACATCTCGAGGACAACATGCATCTAGTGGTGTTTCCCACTGACCCTCACAGATGAGAGATTTTAAACCTCTGATATTTCATATCCTGCTTCTCAGACACCCTGGTCCCTCCACTACCAGCTATATGCAAGTAATTCTTGAAACAAACTCTAAATGACATACCTTACAACTGCTTCAAATGATAGCATGTGATGTGACTCATTTGCTTCTTTCAAAAGCAAAGCAGCATCTGAAAACATACAGAGGACAAAACCAATGCTTCCTCAAAAAAATTGCTAGTGTTAGTACAAATAGCTTCCTAACGTTTATGGGCGATGCCTCGCTGATACGATATACCAGCAATTACTCACACTTGACATCATCCAGCGTCACATATTCATGTTGTACCCACTTTGACAGCCTATGCAATTTTCCTTCTGTGTCAGCCAGCCTTCTTTCAGGGAGCATTGCACTGCACTCCTCTTGGAAGATGCTAGTGGTTGACCAATACATAACATTTAAGGACACAGTATTAATTCCAGTCTGAGAATATGATCTACCTAGTATGTAGTCTCTTCATTGCACTCAGTTTCAAAGGGACAGGCAGTGAAATGTGTTTGGCAGGTATCCTGAACTAACTTTCAACTATTACAACCACAAAACAGGCTGAGGATGTTGAGAGAAATAGGACATTTCACCTCTAAGGTTGCGTCTGAAGTTGCTTTTAGTTGCTAATATAATAAATTGTGACTATATTATTTAGATCAAAGCGGTTTTAAGTAATGGATGAAAGTCAGCCATACCATGTTGTGAATTTATAAAATTATTATTAATAATAATAATACTTTAATCTTTGAAGTGCCTTACACAGATGAATTAATTACCTCACAATAGTCTTCAGGGTAGATGAGAATTATTACCTGGTTCTGAGCGATCTGGAAACAGCAACAAAGATGCTGAATGACTTTACCAAAGTCATACCAGGCTAGTGCCTGAGCTAGCATTCAACATTAGGCATGTCTGGCTCTGTTTTTATGTTCAGACCACTTATCCGCCCTGCTGAAATGACAGCTGCCTTCCTGTTTCACGTGCTTTGTTCAGACATGATCTTCAGACAACAGATGAAAATATTCCCACCCAAATGATCTTGTTGCTTTTTGAGCTAGGCTAGTTGAACTGAAATACCTCTTTAATGTCTTGACATGCATTTCCTGAAAGTGAGTATTTTTTCTGTCCTTAAGGTTTTCCTCAGCTGCTGGATGGGAGCTGCAATACAGAGCATGAACAGGCAGTAGTATGAGTTTAAGATACTAGCACCAGTACAAAGAAGGCAACGTCCCATGACACAAAAGCATATCTATTTTGGCATCTAACTGACACAAAGAAAACAACTGGGTTGTCTTGAGGTCAACATGAGACATTGCTTTCAAGAACAGAGAAGCAAAGAGTAAAGGGGTGTCCCCAGTTCTTCCTGCTCTGTCTCCTGCCACCATACCCACTGCACCATGTAAACACTTCAAGCAGTCAGTGTCTCAAGTGGCGTTAGGAAGATTTCAAATGTAAACTGCTTCATTCCAGAGCTTTTCTTTGGGATCATTGAGGGCAGAGACAGGCAGAGGTCACCAGGGAACTCACACCTTTCCCTGGAGAGCTACCTGGCAGAGTCAGCAGCGTTCCCAAGCCCAACAGAGAAGTTGGCCAGAGCTGCTGAGACACAGACCATGAAAGGCACCTGCAGTAGCCATATGACCAGGAGAGAGGTGAGCAGCCTGGCTCCACCATGACAAAGGCTTGGAAAATGCCCAGCAGGGCAGGAGGCAGCAGTAGGCAGCGCACTCCCTGCCCTGCTCTTGAGAAGAGAGCAGGGGGCAGACAGTTTGGGTGTTGGTTTTTTTTTTTTGCCCCCATAGTTTAAATGATGAAGCCTTAATCCACAACTGCCATAGAAATTCAAAGCACAGCAATGCGCACTTTGTCCCCTGCAGAGCTGTGGTTTCCCTAAAGGTCTGCAGTCCCCCAGTGCACACCATTGCACAGGGTCATAGGTAACACTGGCAACAGGAATGATGAAGCCTTAATCCACAACTGCCATAGAAATTCAAAGCACAGCAATGCGCACTTTGTCCCCTGCAGAGCTGTGCAGTCTGCAGTCCCCCAGTGCACACCATTGCACAGGGTCATAGGTAACACTGGCAACAGGGAACATCAGTCTGTGGACCTCCACTTATAGACACCTGGGGTGGCATTTGGCCCTCGCATCCAGCACTGCTGCTGCAGCGTGTGGTGCACATTTCTGACACGTGGCGGGACTCGCCACATACTTTAAGCTGTCCCTCTGTAGTGGGTTCAGCTTGAGAGCAGTGTGGAGTAAACACATATTTCTGATTCTCTCCATTAACATGATGGCACAGAGCAGCAGTTAAGGAGATCCAGTCTCAATTGCAAGAAGGAAAAAAAAAAAAGAAGTAACAATTTGTCTTGCAGTTCATGTTTGGGTAAAACCATATTAGACTCTGATTCTACCTTACTTGGAACTGCTGTATCAAGGCCTAAACCTGCATAATTCGAAACTAAACCTCATTCTTTTACCTTGCAAATTCAAGAGTGTTGGTATCATCTTTCCAGTACCACACACCTGGAGTTAGTTTTATCGTCTGCAAGAAAACAGCATACAGAGTACATGTCATAAATCTATGCTCATGTTCTCAGCCTAGCTCAACAAAATATTTATAATGCAAGCACTGTGAAAATGGGCCACTTTGTATCTTTCTTAAGTCTGCTTTTCACCCAGATGTTGTTTGTTTGTGAGTTGTTAAATAGAAGTTCTCTGAGATAAAAGGTTGACAGCGTAAGAAAGAAAAAATGGGTATCTGTCCTTTTTTATGTCTTCCATGTTATGAATAAATAATTGAAAGTTTGCTAAGGAACACCAGTTCTTTGATTGCCAGTGAATCAATAAAGATGGAGAAATCAAATGGAGGCATGCATTAAACAATACATTGCTTTTATTTGTTGTTTTTTTAAATAATATTTATGTAATTGTAGACTAGGTATCAGGAGAAAGGAAATCTTTGCTTAAAAATGGAATACATTATGCACTTTCCTGATATTCTGACAACTTTAAATAAATACCAGATAGACCCTTAAGGGGACACTGGACAAAACTACTAGTAAAAGCATTTACAGTATCTAGGTATTTAAAAAAAAACCAAAGCAACATACAAAAATATCCTCTGGAAATAAATAAGATCTATTAGTCCTTTCTTAATTAACAAGAGACACTTGCAAACTCTTATTTGCAGGTCACCTTTAAAGCAAAACTAGTCTTATTGCTGAAATCCTTCTGCCTACAAATTTAAGCTGAGTGAAACATTACGGCTTTCTGTGACTTTTTGCCAGGTACCATTCAGCCATCCATCCATGAGGCTCTCACAAATTCTTGCTCACTTTAATTTGGCAGTAGAGCCCTGAATACGGGAGACACCAGGATAACTTCATGCCAGCAGCCCATGGGCCCTGTGATGTGCTTGTAGGCCTCGCTATGCCCACAGGGAGGAGAAAATACCGCTCCTGTGTCTTCAAAATGCATCTCAGATGCTTCTCACTGGCGCGAATAGCTGAATGACTGTCCCCAACCAGCCTGCTCCCTGGCGGGGGCAGTGGGACAGGTCTCTGCCCTGCCCACCCCACCCCACCCCATGGGCCCTCCTGTGGCCCCCAGGATCTGCTGCAGAGGCAAACGTGAAGAGCAGCAGCAAGATGGAGCTGGGAAAGGTGGGGAGACTCACAGATAGCATGGTGCTTGCCTGGGACACTACCAGGAGCGCAGAAGATAAGGCAGGCACTGTTTACGGCAGTATCCTGGTGACAGCCTGCTGTCCCCTAGTAACCACAGATCCCAGCACGTAGATCCCCCTCCAGCCTGAGCTGTGGACTGGGGCTCATGGTTTGTGTGCTTTGCTACTTCCCAGCTCTGCTAAGCAGCTTCCTTGGGTAATATTTTAGTCTAATCAGGGGAAAATAAATGCTTTCCATGCGATAACATCTCCGTAGCCACTCATTTGGGCTTACAGGAGCTGCAGAGGTTTTCCTGGTTACAGGCCCAGGACCAGCAGCAGTGAAGGCAGCTGCAACCTGGTCCCTCTGTGACGGGCGTCAATGTCTGTACAGCTCTCTGAATGTTAAACATACTTTAGTTTGGGACTTTACAAGATTTAATCTACCAGGTCACAAGTCTGTGACATGACTTAGGTCCCTATGCAAGCAATCAGCTCAAGATTTGCAAGTTGCCCCTGGAAACAATTCCCGTACGCTAAGGCAAGTCACTTAAGGGCATGATTTCGAGGGAGGGGTTTTGATCTTTGGATTATTGTCAAGCATTTTCTTTTGCAAGCAGAGAATCTCTCATCCTAGTCATTCACAGTGGATCAGCATCATGTATAAGTACTGCTTAGATCACACCCCAAATCGGTACTAGTTATATTGACAAAAGCACTTTTTGCCAATAGAAGTCAAGTCCCTATGAAGGGTGAGGTTTCACATTACAGCTAAGCCAGCCTAATAGCTAGTTGTTGATGGAAGAGGCATTCTTGCTCCCATCAAAGTTTTCCCATCATTTATCTTTGTGTTGATTCTTTATCTTCTCTGTCCCCACAGCAAGGCGGGTCCCTAAACTGTCAAAAACAGTAATCCAGCAAAAATAAATTAGAAGTTTTCTGTTGAGTTAGCATTTTACATCAGTTTATGGTGGAGTCAGAGAAGGGCCAGCAGAGATGCACATAAAGATAAGGGGACAAGGAGGACCACGCCTCTCAATAGATCAGGTCGGCTATAAGCCACAATCTCGGAAAATTTTGGTAGTACAGCTGCACTAGGCCAGTATGTACTTTGAAGAGATGAAAATACCTGACCTAAGACCTGACCTGTATAGGTCAGTTCAGTAAGACAGAAGGAAAATTTCCTGAGCTTTCAGCTCTTAAAGATGGCATCATTCATTTTTGCAATAGTTTCTAATTGGGGAAAATACTCCTGAAACAGCACTGAGATGTTCATGACCATGTGGAAAAACATGTAGACGATACAACGTGGGGAAAGAAAATTTCCATAAAACAACCTGTCCCTAGCTACCTCCATTTCCATAGCCTTCCAAATACTGCATCTTTTCTCCTGTAGGTACACTTTAAAGGTTTATCCATGCAAACATAATCAGTCCATGGATAGCTAAGCAAGAATCTCAAATCAGCCTGAAAATTCAGCTCTGGCTCTGTTCTCTACAGTCTTTTTTTTTTTTTTTTTTTTTTTTTGGACAATCGTATTGTGTATGTTATGTTTCCAGTTGCTATTGCAGGCTGCCAAGTACATATCCATGACTTGGCAGCCAAGTTACATATTTAAGAGGATAAGAGAAGCAGGTTTGGGAACGACCTCAAATCTCACCCATGGCAGCCAGGCAGCACTGTAGAAATAGGCTTCCCATCAGGGGAACGGGGGAGGTATGAAACTGATGGCTCATCAACTCATTTTTATAGAGCGTGGCTGTCATTAGCCTCAGGAGACCATCAGCCCATCTTGGCCTTAGTAAAAGTCATGCCAAAAAAAATGGGAAAGGTAAAGGACGTGTTGCAGATGGTCAGGACCACCCATGTTAGCATTCGTGGTGCAGGACACAGGGGAGACAAGCCTTCTGCTGTACTAGAGTTGGGAGCAAATTAGCACAAAAAGCCCAGATGAAAGAGGGGGAGAAACTAACAGTGAGAACTACCAAGAGGGAGAACAACTGTGAATGTGAAGACTGGGACTGGGAGCTGAAGACAGAGTGGGCTAGGCAGGCAGGGAATCAGTGCAGCAGACAGGTAACTAGGGGAAAATGAAGACAATCTGGAAGGGATTTATGGAGAGTGGGACAGAATTGGCTCTGGCCAAGCACAGGGGCCAAGACAGACAATGGTGTTTGGGGAAACCCAAGACTGACTGAGTTACCAGGGCAGGAGACTTGGGTTGCTCAGATGCAGCCCTGTACTACCCTTAACCAAGTGCTTGCTGGAGGAGATCTGTTCAGCCCAGGTATTTCATGAGCTAAGGGTGCAGAGGTGAGCACCAAACATCCCACCCGTGCTGATGGCCCAAAAATGGGTATCAGTCTGGGAAAAAAAAAAAAATTAAAAGCCTGGCATTGTGTAGCAAAGGAGATTAGTGTCTGTTGGATCCCTGCTTCAGCTGTTGCAAGAGTTGGAAGCTATAAAATGAGTGAGCCAGAAGATTACAAGAAGTGAAATTAAGGTGTAATGGTTGAAGCAGTTCAAGGCTACGTGGGAAACTGGTTTCCATATGGGCTTCAGTCACAGAATGCCAGGCAAATCACTCCAACCCGCATTTAACCCTAATGACCATTATTTGCATGCTCTTTTCTCTCTGAGCGAATGGCCTGGCTTCATGGAAGTCTGAAATGCAGCGCTAGGTACCCACAGGAGTGACCAAAGCCAATGGGAACTCTACTTTGAACAGTTGAAGAACTATATAATACTAACCTGTCTGAAAAAACAGCTTCTTGGCATTTCCAGTAGAAGACTCCATAATAGACAAATGGTGTTTGGTTTTTGGTGGTTTGTTTTATCACCTTCTCTGTGGGAATTATACACATCTCAGGGGTGAAAACTAAATGCTTAATGTTATGAAGCACTCAAGATGCAATGGTGATGAGATTCATAGGCAACATCCCAAGCAATGCTTCTTCTCCAGAGCTGGGGCTGGACAGCACATAGTAAATAAGGTGTATATTGAACTGGGAAATATTACTTTCGTAGAGTATACGCTGCCCATTGTGTGCACTGACTGAGGCAGGTGCCCTACAGAAGAAAAAAAAATTAAAAAACCTGTTACTGTGTAATTAAAAACTGGGTTATGATGCATAAGCACAAAGAAAGAAGAAATAGGCTTGCTCTGATGGTCATAGTTCTGAACAAGCGACCTTGCAGCCTTAATAGGCTTCTTTTAATGTTGTTTCTTGTGGTGTTTGTGTGTCCCTGTGCGTCCCAGTAGCTGAGAACACTCAACAGTACGCATATGCATCCATTCTTCAGGTATATCTAATGTTTAATTCGGATATCACACCCAGAAAATAAACACATGCATAAACTCAACAAAAATATCACTGACTCACCATCCAGCCATTCACCTCATTTCTGCCTCTTGCTTCTCCTTGCTGTGTCAAGTCTCTGTCTTCCATACCCACCGTATTAATTTCCTCTTCTCTTCCCAGGGGCAGTTAAATGTCAACCCTGGTTTCTCTGGGAATATTAGACTCTGTGTGCACGGACTACTGTTTGTATTAGACACACAAGTACAGAATTCAATTTCACAGTAGCTAATACTTAGTCCATGACTACGCCGTTTACCTGCCAAGTGCTTCTGCCTGCTCATTAAAAACAGGATCATGCTATATGAATGGAATAAATAATGTCCTTAGGCATAATACTATGAACACCGGTGTGGCTTTTCACTTCAGATTTGTGCAAAGTTGAAGGTCCTAATTCTTTGTTTTCAGCAATTTTCACTGTTTTGACACATTAACACTCCTGCATTTCAGTCCCATCCCTTGGATCATCCCAAGCAAAAGGTAGTTAGATAGCTGCGCTGTGACGTCTGGAGACACATCGTGTCCCCTCACATCCTCATCTTCCCAGGACACCAGACCCAGCCTTGCCCTAGGTTCAGAGCCCTGTGGCCTGGCTACCTGCCGCGTTCAGTGGTGACTACATCCACAGAGGCAAACTGGCTAAAGGTGTCCAGTAGGCAAAGGCAGAATTAGCCACCGAGTCCAGATGGAAGGTCTAAGGGAAATCAGGAGGCAATGATTGCCTCGCACCACTTACGCATGGCAGGCTGCTTTTGGAAAGCCAGAAAAACCAGCTGCACATTCTTTCACTGAAATCCTCATGCAATTACTCCCTCTGTGTGGTTTTATCAGATGAGATTATTGAACATTAGCAGTTGTCAGCTATTTTCCTGCAGCTAGGCAGTTGCCTTGTGCTCCTAACAATCAACCTTTTGTTATTAACTTGCCTCTAACAGAAAGGAAGAAGTATTTACCTCATACTCAATAGGTATTTTCAAAAATAGCATTTTGATTCTGTATCTGAGATGCCCAGAAATCTATGGAGCTTAAAAAAACTGTCATAGCCTAGTTTCTAGGTCTTCTGTAGGATATAATAACCATCTCTCTGCTATAGAATGAGGGGAAAAAAGGTGAAAATTTAATATAGACGTACTATAGACAAGATCTTCTCTGTTCAGTTCTGTGAGCTTTGAAGGTAATTATTGCAGAGAACTTTATTTTTAGGTTTTAGTTTATTACAGAGACTTTTTAGCTTAGAATTTTTAGTTTAGTTATCTTCCATTTGCAGTGCCACAGCTAG